AAGGGAGTACGGGGGAAGGAAAGACAGTGGAATGAGGTAGACATTATTACTCTAAGTACATGTATAAAGACATGAATGGTGTCTCTACGTTGTGAACAACCAGAGATGTAAAAAATTGTGCTCTATATGTATAATATGAATTGAAATGCATTCTGCTGTCATATATAACAAATTAGAAACAATTTTTTAAAAATAAAAAGTTACAGCTTCCTAGTAGATTTTTCCTTTATCAATATTAAATATCTTTTTTGAGTTCCAGAAATTTTTACCTTGAATTCTACTTCGTTTGATAGTACTATTGTTGTAGAATCATCATGTGAGTACTTGGAAAGTATATATTTTTTTTTTATATTCCTTCATTGTCAACAATTCTATTACATGTTTTCAGATTTGTCTCTGGTAAATAATAGATAGATACGTTCTATTTTTAACCAAACTGACATATCTTTCTTACTAGGGCTGATAAAATTGTTTACATCTATTGTAGATAGAGATAGATTTCTATTAGTTTTACTATTTGTTTATTTATCAAGATACTTTTAAGCTTTCTTGCATCCTGTGGATTAGATTGTATTTTTCAATGTGTTCCTCCTTCTGCTTTGATGGTAATGTATTTTTATCTATTCTTTAGTTTGGGGCTCTGTACATTTTAATTCACATATAGAAACTCATACTTCCTTTCTAAAATGTCAAGAATATCTATGTGCTATCCTTCTTTACAAAACAAAGAATTTAGTGTGCATATATTTCCTTATATACTGGTCCTTGCTCCCCCCACTACTATATTAATAATTTATGGAATTTTATTTCCAAATTGTTTATTTAACACAGATATAGATATATATATATATATATATATATATATACACAACTAATTTCAAGTTAGCAACATTTTTAAAATGATGCCTTTGTTCACCATGTTTTTTGTTAATTATTTTTTCTCAGATTTGGTTTTCTTCTTGCTGAAATCATCTGCTAATAATTCTTTTTTTTTTGCATTTTTTGGGTTCTTTTTTATCCTTAAATACAATAGAATTCATTTTGACATAATTATAAAAGCATGGAATATAACATCCTCCAGTAATTCTTACAAAGAAGGTAGATATAAACATTGTTTGAAAATGACCTTAATTTTGGAGAGAAACTGAACATCTGATTTATTCCATAGATGCTGGGAAGATCTGGCCTCACCTCTGCCTCCTCGCCCTTCCTGCTAAACTCAAATGACTACCAGCTGCTGAAACCTTAGCTCCTGTCTTGCAGTCCCCAAATCCTGTCCCATGACTCAGGCAGTCTGAGTTCCTCATTCCTTCTGTCAATTGGACGGTGAACAGTTCTCAGATCACAGTGGAATACCGACTGAGCTTCCTCAGTGTAGCACGTCTGTTCTTCAGCTGTCTGCTCCCAGCAGAACAGCTGTCTTAAACTGAACTTACCTTGTGGTGGTTTTAATAAAGACTCAAGCTAATGGCTTCTACTTGTTTTCTTCATCCACAAATTCATCCTCTTTGTTAAAAAAATAGTTTGACTAAATATTGTTTTCCTTAATTTAAAAATGTTTTTATTAGTCCATTATAGTTATACATAACAGTGGGGTTCATTTTGACATATTCATATATGCATGGAATATAATTTGCTCCGTTTCAGTCCCCAGTGCTTCCTATTCCCTTCCCTCTTCCCTCCACCTGTTCCCCTCCTTCTACTCTCCTGGTCTTCCATTGATTGATTGTTTTGCTACTGGGGATTCAAGCCAGGGACACTCAAATACTGAGCCACATCCCCAGCCCTTTTTTGTATTTTTATTTAGAGACAGGGTCTCATTGAGTTGCTTAATACCTTGCTAAATTGCTGAGGCTGGCATTGAACTTGTAATCCTCCTGCCTCAGTCTCCGGAGCCACTGGGGTTACAGGCATGTGCCACCATCACAGCTATTTATTCTTCCTTCCTTCCTTCCTTCCTTCTTTCTTTCTTTCTTTCTCTCTTAAATTGGTGCTTTGTACCTACATTAAGGTGGAATTCACTGTGGTATGTCCGTATATGTGCATAGTGTATTTTGTTTAATATCATTCCACATTTCCTCCTGCTTCCCATTCCTGCTCTCTCCCAATCAATCCCTTCTTCTACACCACTGATGTCCCTTCTATTTTCATTAGATCCCCCTCCTTTTCTTTCCCCTTATTTTGCTCTAGCATCCATATGAAAGGAAATATCTGACCTTCGACTTTCTGGGTCTGGCGTATTTCATTTAGCACGATGTTTTCCAGTTCCATCCATTTACCAGCAAATGCCAAAATTTCATTATTCTTTATAGATAACTAAAACACCATTGTGTATATAGGCCATGTTTTTTTTTTTTTTTGTTGTTGTTGTTGTTTGTTTTCTTATCTCATGGCTTATGACCTTGCCACTGAGAAGCCTGTTTTCAGCGGTGATCAGTTCCATATTTTGGAATTGGCATTTTTCCCTGCTTCTGTAATTTCCTGCTAGGGCTGAGAATTATTGCTGTGGTTACCCATGTACTTTCCTTTTTAGGGATCCATACAATTTCTGGTCCACCAAAAACCTTTCCTCTGTTTCACATAAATCCCAATATACTTAATTTTCCTTAAAATACAGCTTTACAAATCACACATAATGATTTTGTGTCAAAAGGGAAGATTTCAGAATATGTACAAATTGAAGAGTTATTTCTTATTTTTGTTTGTTTGGATGGGTCCACAAGAAACTAGCCCCCTGGGGTGTCCAGAGGAGAACATTTGGTTTCACTCTAGATATTTCTTTATTTGAATTTCAGCTTAGTAGCTTCCTTTTGATTCAAAACAATGAAGGACAAAATGTATTGATTACCTTCCTTTCTTCCCTCCTAAGGTTCCTGCCAGTTTTCTTTACCTGAACAGGTGCCCTGAATGTGCTTCTTACCTGTGTGAGCAGCATGACAGGCTCCTAGTCCTGTTTTCCAGTTGGGTTTGCTCAATGGGAGGCTTCAACTGGGGATCAGACAGTGGGAGGAGAATAAGGATGGGATATTTATCCCTGGCCTCCTGTCCTGCTGTACTTTGCCTAATCACCTTACATTGGCTCCATTCCCTTACTGAAGACAACAGGTACTAGGCAGCCCTTTGCACACAATGAGCCTTCCTTCCTCACCTGATCCTCTGGCCTAGGGGTAGCCGTGGCTCCCTCTGTGTGGAGAACTGCCTTTCATGGCTGGCTTCTCTGTGCCCTGCCTACACTTGGTAATTAGTTCCTTTATTAAACCCTCCTCAAATGACTCAGCTTGAATCTCACTTATTTTTGCCCTGGACACCAACCAATATAAAAACAAAGTCAAACAGAAAAAAAAAAAAAGAAAACATAAAGTGTACTGGTAACTTAATTATATAGCTTGGTCTTTTTGGTGTTTCATAACAGAATAACATATTTAAGGAAGAATGTAGGTGAAGAAAGCTTATTTAAAGAAAATATGCCACAGAGGGAAAGTAGTAGTAAATGTTTTATAAGTACAAAGTTTTCCTCCATTTCCCTGTTCAGGCTGTTGCTGGGTTTGGGGGCCTACAGGGAAGGAGTGAGTTCTCGCTGATACTCGTCTTGATGCAGAGCTGTGGGATTATGCTGGGAAGATTTATAGACTCTTAGAGCCAGAAGGGGCCAAGGGGACTAGCTAGTGCAGCCATGAACCGCACAAAGCACTGCATGATTTGTGATACAGCTTTAGGTTGAATTCGTGAGGCAAATACTTAAAAGCCACCCGCACAGTGCTGCTTTTTTCAGTGTGCCTATTAAAATTTTAATGGCTAAAATACAGTACTAATTTCCTCACTGGAATTTCAGAGTAGCTAACAATGACAACAAGTAACACACGGGAACACGGACTGTGTATAAGAGACTATGTTCAAATTTCCCATAGTTCAAGGCTTTATGGGTACCATTTCACTCAATTCTCAGCTGAACTCCACATAGTGGATACTGTGGTTATTCTAATTTTACTGATGAGGAAAATAAGGTAAAGGAAAGTTAAGGGACTTATTCATCACTACAAGGTCATTAAGTGATGGAGCCTGAACTCAAATCTGAACTGTAAGACTCCGAATGCTCTTGTATACTGCATTGTTCCTTTAGTTACAACATGTATGCAGAAATGTGCATGTACATCTAATAAGGAAATATTATTTTGTGTCTAATAGCATATCATATGCATTGTTCCATGTTTTTAAATACAACATAATGTCAGTTTTTTGTTTGTTTGTTTGTTTTGGTGTGTATGTGTGCGCACCAGGGATTGAGCCCAGGGGCGTCTAACTACAGAGCCACATCCCCAGCCCTTTTTATTTTTGAGATAGGGTCTAAGTTGCTAAGTTGCATAGGGCCTCATTAACTTGCCAAGGCTGGCTTTGAACTTGCAATCCTTCTGCCTTGGCCTCCCAAACTGCTGGCATTACAGGCATGAACCACTGCATCTGGCTCATATGTCAATTAAATTATTGAAACATATTCTGTTATATCAATGAATATATTTTGTTAAATCAATTTCATTGTCAAATACAAATTTGCTCTATTTCCCCTTCAATTATTCCTTTCTGATCTTGACTTTTTTCAATGTTATAATTTTTGACCCCAAGTTTTCCTTAACCTTCATATTCTCATCTGTAAAATTATAATTATAATACTTCTGTCATTGAATAATTAAGTAATATAATATATAAGTTAGCTACTATTTATTATACTCATTGTTATTCAATAGAATGCTATTTATTATAATTATTATTGAATAAAATGTTGCTCTTTGGATTCCAAAATGCAGTTGTTTTCTCTGCATATCACCTCATGTCAAGTGACTTAGCAAAAAAAAATGTGTGTGGGACACATGTGTGTAGGTTATGTGTGTGTCTATATGGATGTGAGAAAGAGAGCTTGCATTTTAATCAGAACAACATTTCAGCTACTAAAACAGAGGTTGCTGATTTGACATAGTGTTAATGAAAGAATATTCCAAAATACTTATTTTTTTCCCCTTTTATTTAAAATGTAGTTGTCACAACACATCATATAATGAATGAAGACCTTAGGATCACATTAAAAAATTTTAAAACATCTCTATATAGTCACAAAACATGAAACATGCTGCAAGGACACAAATGCAGTTTGATACCACAGTCTCAGTACATTTTCACCATGAAAACAAACAGGGAAGCACAGACTGTACAAGGGTTTTCTCCATTTCAGCAGGAACTGACGTGTCTGTTCAGTGGGGTTCTTTCCTTGGAGGATGTACCATTGACAGAGTTTCACAATCTCATTGAAATTACCACTGATTTCTACTTCTGAAGGAGTCATCATGTTAGAACCACAACACAAGTTTGCAACACATATTGGCACAATATGAAAAATAAACACTTTTTTGAGTTTTCAGCTCATCACAACAATTGTTTTTAAATAAATAATTATTCCTTATAGTGCATATTTTATTTTACGGTTCATTGCCCATTGACACGAATGATGCTGAATAAATAATACAGTAGGTAGTTTATTTACGTCTTCTTTCATAATTCTGCATTGCACTCCTTTCATAAGCCACTGAAAACAGAGGGGAAATAAAGTGTATTTTAAGAAGACTGAGTGAGTTAAATAATATTCAGTGCACACAGTAAATTAGTATAAATTTGTAATAACTTTTTCCCTCCACTGAAGCATGGCTAAGAATTTTATTTTTACATCTTCTAATCCCGCCTCACTCTCTATTCTGATTCTAAGTGATCTAACCACAGAATACTTGGACTCTTTGGTCATATGTTACATATTTGATGTCTCAAAAGCAATATATTGTATTTTTATGATATAGTGCAATGTTGATCTTCAGGAGCTTTTTCTATGTATCATGGCAGATATAGAGACATGCTTAGTAAATTATGGAAAGGATCATGCCTAAAGTAACTGGGAATATTAGTAGGATGAAAGTGAAGTATGAGACTTTTATTCTAGGACGAAGGTCAATAAACTACTGACCATGAGACAAATCTAGCTCACCCTTTACTGTTGTAAATAAAGGTTTATTGGAACACAGAAACTCAGTTTATTTATATATTATCTTTGGCTGCTTTGACTTTAATATGGCAGATTCTAATAGATGCTATCAAGTTGGCATGGCTCACGATGCCTGAAATATTTACGATCTGGTTCTTTTCTGAAAAAGTTTGCTAGTTTCTGTCTTAGAAGTACATGATGCTATGAGGGTCTCTTCCTCTCTTGTGGATACCTCCCAATGATGGACTGTTCTTGAGGTGACAGGCAGACTCATTTTATGTAGGTAAGTCAATTGAGCCCTCTAAATACAGCACAATTTAACTTACCTCCTAGCACCCTACTGGCCAGTGAAATATTAATTACTGCTTCCAAAGGTACTTAACACAAAACTCGTAAGAAATTTAAGTACTTTGACTCTCTGGACAAAAAAAAAATGCAAGCATTTTATTATATTTTATTATGTTTAATTTCAAAGGGATCTATAAGCACAAATGGGTAGGGATCAGACTCTTGAAATACTACATCTAAGAATATTTTTCATCAACTTAGCCAATATTTCATATACTTAGATTTACATTATAGTGAAACTATAGTGCTGTTTGAAATTCAGTATGCCCTGTATAAAAATACTTAATTTAAGTAGAAACAGCAGAAGGAAGATCCGTAGGAATCATAGAAGGTACCCTACAGTTTCCTTACTGAGAAAGGTTTATTGAGAGAAAAGATAAGTGCAGACACCAGATTTAGCACTTCCTCTAACACTGACCTCTAATGTCCACCCACCCTTAAGTGAGGTGAACAATAAGTTGAATGTTTTGCATCAATGTTGTCTGCAGTTCCGAGGTGGGACAGACTGAGCCCCAAGATGGACAGTTCTGAAGGAAGGAAAAGTTCCTTGGTCTGCCTGGCTGGCTTTTATCAGAAAGAAGGTGATGAGCACAAGCTCAGTCCCTGGCAAGCCAGGGTAGCTACCTTTATTCCCACAGTTCCATTAAAGAAAGGAGATGAATCCTAATTAAACTGACTACAGACAGATTAACGATTTAGCTGGGGCAAATATGTTTTTCCATGGAAGCAGAATTTCTTACCTGCTCCTTAAACCCTCTGAAGATGTATGCCAACTTTTGTGTGCCTGAGCTGGTGTGGGTTTCTCTGGGAAAGGGTTTCTAGATCATCTGTGACTGTGAAAGGCTAAGGATCAAGTGGCAGTGGAATGTGAGTAGGATAACCTTGTCCCACTGACCATATGAAGAGGTTCTTGATAGACAATGGATTATTTTTTTTTCTTTTTAAAATTTTTAACAAATGGAAGAACAAAGATTTACTTAGAAGATGATTCTGCTTTATGGCAGTGGTTCTATGTATCATTACCTATAATTATTACTTTAGGTACAATTAATCTGTTCTAAACTGCACAGCATCTATATTATTTGTCAAGCATGTTCTGACAGCTATATCAAATCTGGAAATAGAGAGTAGATGACTAATACAATTACGAAGAAAATCACAGTGAAGTAAGGACTAGCATATATGGATACAAATAAATGTCTCTGTGGTTTAAATTTCTATCCCATTTCCTAAAGCTAGAAGACAATATATAAATAAAACAATTATAAGTTTTCCATGAAGTACAGTTGTAACTGTACTTAAAACAAGATTTTATAACGTAAAATTGAATCGGCCCAGAACTACTGGTGACAAAATACAAAGGTAGTGTCTACATTTAGAAAGAGAATAATCAATAAAAATACTAGTATGACTATTTTTTCATGAATCTAGATAATTAAGAATTAAGTCATCACAACTTAGTTATAGATTTTTCAGAAACTAGATACATTCTAAATGGATAGGACAGCTGCTGAATACTTTCTAAGTAATTAGATGACTACTATTTTAATTTATTTTCATTCAAAGTAAAATAAAGAGAATATGAATAGCTTTTCCAAGGAGCCATAGCTGAGGGCTAACCAGGCTTGAAGGTGCTTGACTAAAAGTCAGTTTCCATGAATATGATAAAGGAGTTATTTAACCTTGAAAATAGTATGATGAAAGAGTTAAGAAATAAGGGTTTTCAGATATACGTATGTAGCATTTACACAGACAATGCAAACTCAAGAGAAAAAGAAAACATGCAGCCTTTATATCAAGCGAAGGAGTTGTTCAGATTTAAGATGGGTTATGAAAAGTGTGGCATCTCTTCTCTCTAAGGGTTCCACAGCCAGAACTGGCTAATAACACTCAAGGATAATTTGACTGTGTTCCTTTTTGGAGGCCTTGAAATGTATCATAGCACTTTCATCCTTTCTAACATGCAGCAAGACATTGAGATTTGAACTTCTATAACTTTATAATGAGCAAGTGATTTGAATAACATTTTTCTTTGTTTTATTATTATTTATATTTGTCCTCCCTGTACCCACTCTTCCTGCCTCATAAGGTTGAATAGAGCTTAGTGAGCATATCTAAGAGAATGAGCATGACACCAGCCCAAAGATTCAGGATGGGTAATGATTAAATTGAACAGACTCTGGTAAAGCTCACGGTTTGAGAGAAATCAACCAATACTATGGTGATATTAGTTAATATTAATTAGCTATAAATCTACTCTTGGCTCAGGTGCTACAGCTAAATTTTTTCACTATCATTACTCATTTTAAGTCTATTATTCCTTTTGAATATTTTGAAAACTATGCCTTATAAAAATAATAGAAGCAGATTTGAGGTACTGTCAGTCATGATTTCATACATACCAGAATTTAAAGCTCTTTTGCCCATTAGTCCAACAAAGGAATCTGTTTTATGCCCTGAAAAAATATATAGGGGTATTTTAATATGTATATCTTTGAGGATATAACTCTTATAACTAGTACAAAAAAGCACACTTTTGAATATATGCCTATATAAAAAATATGCATCTAATTCAAGTTTTGGCAAGGCTAAAGAAATAAAGATTCCTTGTAAGTTGTATAAATTATACTAAAACAATACAATGAGAGAACTGTTCTCGATTCTTTTTTTTTTTTTTTTTTTTTATAACCCTAGCTCTAAACTTAACCCTAACACTATCCCTAATCTTATGTGTATCCATAGCCCAAATTCTAGCTCTAACTTTTTCCATTAACTTAAACATAACCCTAACCCTAATTCTAACCCTAGCCCTAACCCTAACCCTAACCTTAACCCTGACCCTAACCGTACTCGTGATTCTTTTTTTTTTTTAAATTTTATTTTATTTTTAATTTTTTATTGTGGGTAGCAAGTACCTTTCATAATATTATGTTTTATCTATTATACAAAGTTGTAAATACTGTTGATATTTGAGCCAGCTTTGATTTTGGGGGGAGTCAATTTTACATTTGTGTGAGAGAGAAATAACCAAGTTTATTTCTTCACATTATTGAATGTTACATTTCTTAGCAAGTGAACTTTAGTCAATTCTTGTCCTTGGCGATTGTAATCTTCTAAAAGGTCACTATTTTATTGAATTAAAAAATATACCTTGGGAAAGTATATTTGTTTCTATGTTAGTAGAGTACATTTATTTTTATTATATAGATTTTCACTATGTATAGACGTCCCTTGAAAGTCAAATCCTTAGAAAGTAAATATGAACAAAATATATTTATTTGCATAAGTAAAGTCTTCAGAAAAGGTTATGATTTCGATGTTAGTGTGAGAATTTCTCTTGGTTTTTAGTGTATTAGTTGAGAATAGGGCTACTACCTTACTAGGGCCTACTCTGCCACCCAGAGAATCAAATCCAAGACAGGGTGCTAAGTGAGCAATATGACTAAGATGGATCCTTGGGACTCCTGTCGACTTTGGTTCTATTAGCTACAAACTAGGATCTACTGACCTTCCAGTACCACTGTTCTTCACTGTCCTAAGAAATGTTTCACTGTACTTTGATAGAGCTTCCCCTTTCAATTATGGGATCAAAAAATTGCATTTCTATCCATCTTTATGTTTAGTGTGGATTCTCTGCTCAGATATTCACTCACCCACTTTAATTGGCTGCTACATGATCCCCCAAAATGATGTTATGGGGTTCATCTCACTAAAATGAATTAGAAGATATCTATAAATGCTTGGGATTTTTTGCTGTGTAAGTGTGCATGAGGAGGGGCTGGAAATGAATGTGTGGGATGGATTTCTAAGCCTAGTATTAAAATTCTAAAACTAACAATTTAGGGTAGTTAAAGGACATTTTCTTTTTTAATATAATGCATCTTTTCAGTAAGTATAAGTCTAAATAACAAAGTTTGTCAAATTAATTATTCATTTAACCATATTCTGGATGAATTTCCTGCATTCTGACATTGTATTACATAAAGTAGAATTCAATACAATTAAAATTAGCATTTGATAAATGTCAAAATGATTTAGAGCTTACTTTTGTGAGAGATCTGGCCATGTCCTAGAAGAAAGAAAGATAAAATTAGCAAACACATATAGTTTTGTTTTAAAGAAGTTACACAATATCTTTTAGAATTATAAAATAAATTGATTTTCAAAATATGTAAATTTTCCACTTATGTGCTATCCTGAAAAATACAAAATAGAACTAGAAATGCTAATCAAGTTAATAATAATAATAAAGCTAGATATTTTAACAAACAAAAGGAATATCTATTAAGCAACATCCATGGGTCATGAATTCAAACCCAGAGGGACTCTTGAGGCTTGTTATTAACTATAAATCTATGCCATTTAAGAATAGCCACCCATTTCTCTCTCTCTCTCTCTCTCTCTCTCTCTCTCTCTCTCTCTCTCTCTCACACACACACACACACACACACACACACACACACTTGCATGCATGCACACCCCACATTTGGAGGGTATGCAAATCTATCTCTTAATTAAACAGAAATAATTAAGATCTTGTATTTCAGCCCATAAAATATTTCTTCACTTTCCTCCTACATGTGCATTCACAATAGTAAAATAAAGATTTATAGGAGTGTTTACCATAAAGAGCCTTTAACAGGGCCACTTGTTTTTCAATTGAGGAATCTGACAAGAGACGAATGGACATTAACTATTCACAAGTTTCAGGGATGTGGGATGAACTCAAGGAAACTGAATATTTCTATCACGCAACAAGGGGCAGCCAAATCTAATCTAACCCCAGACAATGTTCTGAAGTCAGTTTCCACATGCACTTGAACCGTTCGGAGTCTCTCCTGGAGACCCCTGGCCTTCCCCTTCTTAGCGGGGGGGTGGGGGGGGGGGGGGGGGGGGGGGGGGGGGGGTGGCGGATCTTTAGTCAAGAGTGTGCTTAGTAACTAAGGTTGGTTCCTGTTTTGGGTCTCTTGAATTCCATGAAACGGGTGAAACAGATCTTGCCCTTCTAGGGGCAAGTGCATGTGTTAGGTGCGGGCTAGAATCTCATCCTGAGAGTTACACCTCTCTTAGGGTGGCAATGTCTATCAAAAAGCAAGAGACACTTGGCTGCTCCAGGAGCAAGCTAGCGAACAGGGCGGCTTGCAGGGGAAGACCTAGGGACCCTTGTTTATCTCACCAGCATCCCGTTTGCCCATCAATCCAAAGAACTGCTGAGGTTTGGGTCTCCGGGCGATTCTCTGCAGAAGATGCTCAAAGGGCTCTGGCAGCTCTTCCTGGGGGACAAATCGGCATGTAGGTAACTAGAATGAGGCTCCCTGTAACCCCAGCCATTCTCACCGTGAGCTCTAATACCTCACCAGCCTGGACTGCTGGCTGATGTGCTCACTCGGGAAGGCAGCTTCGCCCAGAGAAGAGAAGCTGGCGGGCTCCCCAGTGCAGAGACTAAGTGGAGCCTGTCCCGGGGGCTCCACATCTCTGCCTCCACCTGCCCGGGGCTGCCTCCTTCCCATAAGCCGACCCTGGCTGGTTGGCAGCCCCGCGGCATCTTTCAGCCCAGAGCGCTCTCCGCTCTTTCCTTCCATCCCAAAGAATTTTACTTCATCCGCCGCGCTGCCACCCTCGACTGGCCACTGGTGCTGGCTTTGGAGACCCCTCACTGCCCCAAGGTACACAGGTGTGCGGGCGGCGGGGTTGGGGTGGAGAAGGGTGACAATGCTTTTAAGCGACCTGCACCAACCACTTACACTGTTAGCATAATGCTCTCAGCCTCGCGCCAACATGCGAGCCATCTAAAGGGAAACTTGTGGCTACTTTCTCAGATCCTCAAAGTAAGGATCCAGGCAAGAGGTTAGCTTCCCACCCACCTCGGCCCTTCTAAGTTCCCTGAAGCTCGCCCTAGTCATCGCTTCTGCCCGCGACCGACGCGCCCTCTTCTGTCCCTAACATTTCCAAACGCTCCGGCAGCGCAGCTGGACGGAAGCCCCTGAAATCTCTGTTACTAGGGAATGAAATCTTGTGAGGTTTCCAGGTTTGGGAGGACAGGGGCTCATCAGGAAGGCGATCACTCATTCAGGGAGTTCCTGGACCCGACTGTGTAGGAAACTTGGATCTTGGGCGCAAAATCCCGAGGAGAACCTGGGGGTGGCGCCCCTTTACACCCCTTCGCGCGCTTCTACTGTCTCTGGTCGCGGACTCGGTGCCCGCCAGGCTAACTCGGGTGCTATCCTAGGGGAATGGTAACGGCTCCGACCCAGGAAAAGGAGCGCGGGCCGTGCCGGGATAGAGTCTCACCTTGATCTGATCACTGTCGGACCAGTCGGACCAATAATTTAGGTCATCGTTGGCACCGATTTCTTCCGCAAACAGTTGAGTGGAGACGAGAAAAAAGACTGCCAAGGCCACGAGGATTTTCATGTTGGATTTCTGGGAAGGGTGCAGGAGAAGACACCAAAGAGAGGGAAGGAAAAAAACACGTATATAAACCTCTAAGAGTTAGAGCGGCAGAATATTTGGCCCCACAACGGAACTCGGGTCCAGTTTAACCAAGATAAAAAGCATAAGAGGTACATCTCTCGCCTGGACTCTTTAGGAAAGAGAACCACTCCCCAAGGATTCTCAAATCCCCTTGTCCCCTAGTCTTAGCTCCCCAGACCTAACCCACTAACCCATAACCTCGAGTCTGGAGGCTCTGCAGATGGAAAACAAAGAGGGGCGTTGGCACTTGAGAAACAAGTCTCCCCACAGTCCCCAGAAGCAGCCGCGCACCGGAAGGTCGCGTGTGGCCCCCTTGGACAGATGCGCAATGGGGGAAAGCCCGGCAGCCACAGCTGGCGGTACGCGGGTACTTACTGTGGCGGACCGACCCGCAGGGATCCAGTGGCGTCTGAGCGCAAGCTGAGCGCTCAGCACTCTCGGTTGCAGCTGTGGTGGAGGAGGAGGTCCGATCGCGCTCTTTTGCCTGCTCGGTGCTTCGCGGTATTTATCTCAGGCGTGACGAGCTTCGAGACACACGTGACACTCTCCCCACGCGACTTTCAGCTCAATATTTAATTAGCCGCTTCCTCTCCTTTCGCTTGCGTGATTGAGAGTTTCCGAGACAGTAACCCGTCGGTTCCCATAACATCTGGACTCAATTGGGTTCTAAATGACGCAATTTTAGGAAAATCCAGGTCTCGCCATCCAATCCAGCGCAGTCTGTCTTCTTCCATCTGCAAATCTGACGCCCCCTCCCCTATCCTTCGGAACAAGGCTCAGGGACACCTGAGATTACTCATCAAAATTGAGCAAAGTGACTCATTCCTCGGACTTCTACAACTTTTTTTTCTTTTTCCATCTGGAGACGTCAGGATAAGTTGCACTTTTGAGGGCGGCCAAACAACTTCAGGCGTTGAAATTCTGTCTTAGGAAATCAGGCTACGAAAGAAACACCTCGGTTGGGATGTGGATTTCCCTTTCTCTCTCTCTCTCTC